CTAGTAGAAGAGGTTTATTGAACCCCCGTTGACCAAAGTCGTGCAGCCATAGGTTTCACAAATGAATTGCCATATAGTCATAAACCATAGATAACATGTGCGATCTATCTAATGGATTCTAATGGTATGTTGAAAACGAAAATTGTAATATGCAGCGCTGAAGTAATACAGTAAGATAAATCATCGAATATGTATATATATATACAGTAATCCCTTCCTCCTATTACTAAACCCCGCCCAAATACTAAAAACTAGTAACCATCTCCAATTTTGGAAAATTTCAGATTGGCCAATTGATCCCCTTTAGAAAACAATTCAAAAATAAAGCTATCTTTTGTGGGTTTTCCCCCCTAATACTAAAAACTAGTTCACCCCGGGGTGTTTATTATTAGGGTCCGTCCGATTTTTTTTTGTTTTATATATTAAGGTTTTTAATTTAGTATTTGGGGGAAGCTTCGAAATTCAATTTTTGGCAATATTTTAATTGCGTTATAGAAAGAAATTTAATTGATTTTGAGATCGGAAAAAATAGTTTTTATTATTAAGGATTTTAATCTAATATTAGGGAGAAGCTTCGAAATCCAATTTTGGCAATATTTTAATCGCGTTATATAAAGAAAATTAATTGATTTTGAGATCGGAAAAAATAGTTTTTATTATTAAGGATTTTAATCTAATATTAGGGGGAAGCTTCGAAATCCAATTTGGCAATATTTTAATCGCGTTATATAAAGAAACTTCATTGATTTTGAGATCGGAAAAAATAGTTTTTATTATTAAGGGTTTTAATTTAATATTAGGGGAAGCTTCGAAATCCAATTTTTGGCAATATTTTAATTGCGTTATATAAAGAAGATTTTGAGATCGGAAAAAATAGTTTTTATTATTAAGGATTTTAATCTAATATTAGGGGGAAGCTTCGAAATCCAATTTTTGGCAATATTTTAATTGCGTTATATAAAGAAAATTAATTGATTTTGAGATCAGAAAAAATAGTTTTTATTAGTAAGGATTTTAATCTAATATTAGGGGGAAGCTTCGAAATCCAATTTTTGGCAATATTTTATAACATGCCAGTTGGTGGGGATCACTCGAAGCAACGAGTGATGCAAATACAAGTTTGCGGATCAATTGGTAAACCCAAACAATTGGGGCGTCCTGAGTTTTGCGACCTTGAGTCCGTTCGAATTGAAGTTCAAGTTGGCCTGGTTTCAAAAGGAGGGGCCTTCACTTCTGATTTGGGTCACAGCAAAGGACATGGCTGAAATACATCCAGATCATCTGTACAGTAAATGCATGGTGGAAATAGAGGGCTCCTTCATAGAATAGCCAGCGAAAAAAATTGAAAACCATTTTCCTGAAAATGTATGAGCATGGCTGAAAATATTCAATAATTGCATTGAAATAGCATAGATTTCCATAGTTCTCCCTTCACATTGTATTTCTTTCACAAACAAAAACTCCTCTTAGCACCTCCCATGGACCCTCTTCGTCAGGCAAACCTGACCAGGCTGTTCCAGCTGTTTCAATATGCATTGAAGGTCAGTCACGCCTAAAATGAGTGTGGAAATAACAATGTCAATGGGGAAAATCCATGAACATGATGATCAACCGATGGTGGCTGTTGGGTCAATCGATGTCGATCCTTTTGAACCCCCGTCATGCCCCTGGCTGATGCAAGTTGGGAGATATTGAGAGCCAACAGTACCTTTAATGTTGGATAGCGAATGCAAATGGACCCACAGAATTTGGGACTTCAGAAACTGAAGTTGGTTTTTGACAGTGGCTCTTGTGTTTTTCAAAATAATTAGTTGTACATATATGACATTATATATGTGTATATGTATATATATATATATGTATAAAATTATAATATTATATATATATATTATTGAATTGGCAGTCAGTATATGTTAATCATTATGTTTTGCAATGTTTTGCCATATGTTCCGGCATCCCAGTGTCACTGAGGACTTCACTCAAGCGTCGGTTCGGGTTCGACTCCCAGTCCACCTTGAAACTGGGCCAACGTTTCACTTGTAATAGTAAATCTGCGCTCACTTGTGCCAGCAAACCAATACTTTCTTGGGGGTGACCCCCCTGCCTAGTCAGAAAACATGTATTGCTGCCGGGTTGATAAAGTACTTATTTCATCTTATTTCCATGCACAGAGCCACTAGTATCAACGTACATGGACCATGGATAATATGTGAATCGCTGGCATGAATAATATATGATTTGAAGAAGAAAAATTGTCCCTATTACTATTTGAAACCACCAACTAGTAGCAGCACAACTCTGGTTGGTGATATCCACTTTGTAAGAGACAAAACAGTCAAACCACATGTGTGTTGGATATGAATCACCCAGCAATATTGCCATTAAACATTGGCGTATCCCCATTTCTACCCCCTTTAAAATAGCCACAAAATGGTGAGATTGAAAAACATCAACCAATGCTGTTCAACGATCAATGACAATCCATCCTCCACCCGAGGGCGTTTGGCCCTAGGGCCAGGGTTCCAAAGGTTCGCAGAACTGGGTGTAGCACCATGTTTCCCCAACTGATCAGTAAACCCCAAGAAGATAGAACGGCGATTTATTAGCAATTATGTTTAAATAGGAATTCTCCAGATTCGATCTTACTGGAGTTGCGGCTACAATGTCCTGTCTTGAATCTTGACAACCTTGGGGGTAGCCTAATCTTCCCACTCCCCTGTATCTTGACTAATTGCTGGCAACCTTGCCAAAGGGTGATCTAGGATCCCACACGTCAGAGGAAAGCCGAACAATGACGGCTTTGAACTCTACGTCCCCTGAGACAATCCAGCACTGACGGGAAACAGCAACAAGACGTCCATAAATAGAATGTTTAGCAAACCTGCGACGAATCCGTTGCGAAACATATTTGCTAACTATCATTTCTGTGGCTTGCTAGGAGCTACAGGAGGTTGTTCCCCATGCAGTTTTTTTGTAAACCTGGATCATGATGGGGAAAAATCCAAGACCTCCGAACTACACACCAAGCTAACAGAAGGTACGAAGGTACAAGCTTCTCGCCATTCGGAAAGATTGAAACAAATGATGGCTATATTACATAGAGTTTCATGATGGTTGGAGCATGCTCAAGCGAATAGTGAAAGGATAATTTTGACAACATTACATTACACAATTGTAGTACGAAAAGTATCAGTTGCCATGTATCATGTATACCCATGAATTAGCCGGTTCTTGATTCTTAACCATCTCAAACCATGACAGACCAAAACCACCATATACATGTTCGCTGGTTCAATCATCAATTGCCACTGATTCAAGACTATATAACTTCTTGCTGGTTCAGCCCGCAGTTTTCATGGTAAAGTGACATACCAATTTTTATTTTCTTCTGGTGTGAAATGTCCATTTCTGTTGGTGAATTGATTTCTGTCGCTTGGATCAGACCCCATTTTTTCCTTTGGTTTACCACCACTTGAGAAGGGGTGACACGAAAGGTAGTTGTGTCACAGGGGACGCGGGGGATCACTCAGTGCGAAAGCCGAGCGGAGGACATGGGGGGGGGCATGGAACTGGACATTCAGAGCAGAGCGGAGATATCTGGATCCGAAAAGAGAGCACCCCACGATGTCCATGGTTGCTCATCACTTATATAGTCCATTTTTAAATAGCCATTTGGAGGTATACGTTGTCTGACACACACATCGTGCGGGGAAAAAAAAACTCGGTCAGTGTTAGCACAAACTCCAATGTGTCTTTTTGCGGTACCTATGGATGCTCGAACCTGTCACTTTCATCGCACCGTTGGGTACGGGGCAAATGGATGTCGAAAAATCCGACTTGCAAGTCGAATGATGATGATGATGAGGATGATGATGATGATGATGATGAGGATGATGACGATGATGCTGATGATTTACCCCCACGTAGATAGAAAAGTAATTCCACTGTGCATATATACCTATTGGAATGTGTAACATGTGTAGTGCATGCATGTATTACGCCATAATTGTTTTCGTATGTGAAAGGCCGCATGCCTCTCACAGAACCCGCAGCCATTCACAACATTTAGGCATGGTCAAAATCCTGTACTGCACCTGCAGGATCCGATGCGCACCGTTCAACAACGACGACCGCCCTGACCTCATCCCAGCGTTTGGTGTCCCGGGCCGTGGCTGAATGGGCCGGGCCTCAACTCCAGGACCCGAGGGGATGCTGCCTGTGAAGGTGTTTAGGATTAGCGCTTTGCTGTGAAAGGATCCATTTCCAAAGCCAGGCTTTGCAGTTCAAACATCATAAGGTATTCATAACCGACTCATCCGCGGCATCATGAGATGGAAAATCGAACTGTTTCGCATCCCTCCGCCCGCTCCGGATGGGTGCATATCCATCCCTCAGGTGGGCGCAGCATAGCCATCTCTGGATCAGGTTTAACATCTACCCACACCCAACCGTCTTTACATATGCCGCTTATCCATACCTATCGGACCCCTGAACTGGACTGAACTGGATTTATCTCGGAAACGTTCGAATTGGCCTTCCATCTGCAGTAGTTAGGTCGTCCGCGTTTCTGTTTCACCCTCTCCATGTGCTGCTGAAAGATGAAACTTTGCAGGCCGCTTGACTGATACTTTCTGGTGTGCGCGTATGTGATGATAGTTGAGGATAGTTTGGTGGTGTTTATTAAACTTTGATCCAAAACCTGTCGCTTTTGAGTGCCCAAACCGTAGCCACCCGCGACTCGAGCTGCCTGAACTCCACACCTGCTGCGTCCCGAGCTCAGAGCAGCTGCTGGTTTGGCAGCGCACATCGCCTGACTGAGGCACCAGTAGCACCGGTGAGCGTTGAGGTGGCAAAATGCGGCAAGGTGATGGATAGCTGGACAAAAACTTGGCACAAATCTCCTGCAACTACCTCTGGAACGCAATAAACATGACAGACATCTACTGGACTTCATACAATGTTCATGCCTATTGCCCATTTGCATTCATCTGCTCTGTACA